TTTTGTATTCTTTTGTGATGTGCATGGATTTTGAAATGTTACTGTATATCTTTTTTGGGTGGGTGTGTCCGTCTTGACCCATCGCGAGATGCATGGCAGGCTGGCAAAAGAGGCCTTCGAGGAGTGATGAGTTGGAAGATCTGGAGATGGCAATCTTTGAGAAAGATTAGTCAATGCTTTAGACATCTTCAGACCAAAGATTCAATGACTGTGACGGACTGTTAACCGAGCACCAAACGGCTAGAATCTTTCTTGTAGACCTTGGATGTGTCCTTGATAAAGCCCGCTCTAAACGCTCACTCTTGGGTGGCACCACTGTACCAAGGGTTCACTTCCGCTTGGGCCGGAGGAAGGCGATGTAGCCGAGACTTTTCGGGAGCAGGTGCTGGAAGAGGGCGAGGAGAATTGGGGTTATGACGGGTCAATGACGGGCCTTGAATAATGCTTCTTAAGATCATAATTTGTTCATGTGGAATCCATATGTCTTGATTAATTTTGGGTGGGGCCGACAATGTGACATCATGTGAGGAGCTGTGATTGGCTGTGAGTGATTGTTGTTTTTTTCTGGTAGGGTGATTGATGCTGTCAACAAACAGTTTCAAACCTGACCCGTTCTTACCTCTTGTGTTTACGATGCCTGATGATGCCTGTGCATCAGGTTTCATTAGCGGCCAGAACATGGACGTGACTTTGCAAGCTAAGTCATGCCGTCGTTGGAAACCCAACTCCGCTTGGAAGAAAACCCACCGTTGAGGCACTCGTCCGGTGATTCACAACTCGCTTCCTCCGCAGGACGCCAGCGTGGCGGCTGAGGACACGCAGGTGTCCGGCAGTTTCCGCGAGATGCTCTATGCCTGTGTCGTGGCTTGGCAGATGACAGCGACACAGCGAAGGCTTGCAACCGAGCCAGCAAAAGCAACAGCCAGACCCAGGAACTGGCGTCGATTCCCTGCGGTGCCTTTCCACCGAAGCTGGCCGGTCCGGGGCCCTTGCTTCGATTCGGGGCATCCATTCGTGTGTGTTCGATTCATTCGTATTGACCACCGGTTGGCCGGACATCCGTGGATTGACAGAGAATTACAAGACATGCAGCTAAAGTACTTATTTACAGCCTTCGGCATGCCGCCGGCCACCAGCTCGAGCCCGCATTGGCAGCCAGCTTAATGATACAATACCCTGCTCAATCATACTTGTTGGTGCATTGGAGGTGCACATTCGGCTGGGTGAGTTTGTTGATGTTTATTTCAAGGTTGTTTGACCATGAAATGGAACGAATCCGAATAAGAGGTTGTCTATTCTGATCCAGCGATCCGAACCGGCATGTCTCAGTCGAATCACCTAAGAGGAACCAAGTGAAACCAACACAAGCAATGCGAACCAAGACTACCCACAAAACATGACCTTGAAAACGATTCTTCTTCCAAACTACTTGGCCGTGTGCATGTTTTCCTTTTCAGATCTTTTTTTCGACCGTCTCGAGGGATTGCGACACGCACCAGATATTCTTTTTCACACACAGAAGGCTTCAAAGCGACCGAAGAATTTCTAGATCTGGCATGATTTGTCGTTTTTTCTCCAAACCGATTGAAATGAAAGACCCAGAATGACATCGAACAACAATACCCTGCTCAATCAGACTTGTGGGTGCATTGGAGTTGCACATTTTGCTGGGAGAGTTTGTTGCTGTTGATTTCAAGCGAAGTCGTTTTACAATGAAATGGAACGAATCCGAATCAGAGGTTGTCTATTCTGATCCAGCGATCGACATGTCTCAGTCCAATGGTTGTCTGTTCTGATCCAGCGACCTACTACCTACTACCTACTACGTACCACCCACTACCTACTACCTACTACCTAAAATCCGCGTCAGGCTGTCGAAAAGTCCGCGCGGAGAGACAAACCGTAGATTGAAACCAACACAAGCAATACTAACCAAAACAATCCACAAAACACGCCGGCAGGCCGGCGGATTAAAACATTAAAAATCAAAACACTATACCCTGGCGGTCCAGGACCTGAAAAAGTAGGGTCCTCGGAATGTCTGAGGAATCAGGACCTGAAAGGTACACACTCGGCAATGCTTGAACCATGTACTTTTTGAGGTCCCGGACCTCAAAAGGAACGTACACAATATATAGTTAACATCCGTGAGCTTGAAGCTCCTCACTCCCCATGAGCAAGCGTGAGCAAGCGTGAGCAAGGACCTCATAAAGTACCTCGGCGGACCCAAAAAGAACCTCGGCGGACCCAAAAGAACCTCGACGGACCTCAAAAAGAACCTCGGCGAGCGTGAGCAAGCGTGAGTACTGCGATGCTAAAACACGTGTAGGTTTAGGTGCGTGCATGTCTTGAGAGGCCATATGGGAAACTCGGCTCGTGGGTCACTCGGCATTGTTGTGGGACACTCGGCGCATGTACTTTTTAGGGTCCCCTCGGCGGAGGACTTACTTTTCAAGGTCCCAGGACTCTGAGGGATATATATATAATATTTGCATATTTGCATATATATATATATATGTGTGTGTAGGGGCCATGAGTTCGTGGAAACCAACAGTTAAACCAGTCAGTTGCTCATCTCAAACATGAGCTTGCTTTGAAAAGGAGTCCAAAAATGTCCAAACCGTGGAAACTAAAAACGCTTTAGACTTAGTGATGGTGCTTCACTTCCGGGAAAAGCTGTTTTCAGCGATGGCACACTCCTGCAAAAATACAACGGAGAGACCCACGGAAACCCAGACCAGTGCCAGCATGCGCCATTTTCGGCTTGATGTTTGTTTGCAGGCGGGGTTACTTAATGTACATCTTACCTCTACCAGCTGCACAAGTGAGGCAAATGCAGAGTACATGTTGCCGGTGCCTTGTGGATGCAGGGTTGTGGGACGCTTCTGAGGCGTGTACTTGTGGGGCAATGTGAAGCTGATTCAGGCCCTGCATCATTTGCGCTGGAAGCTTAGCCAGAGAAGGCGGAATCTGGAAACGGTTCATTCGGAATTTGGCACATTGATTTGTTCATTCGGAAAGGTTGATCAAACGGAGCAAGACTCGGAGTCTGAACTGCGTTGGTCGATGTTTCTCTCGATCCTCGAAGAGTAAGTGGTAAGCTGGAAGAACTGATTGTACCCGCCGCTTCCCACTAGTGCCCCTGATTGATTCACTTTCACTTTCGCTTTCAGCAATGCAATGTTTAGGGCCCACAGCAGATGAAATGCACCAGGTGTCATGACCTGACCCAGTTATGTTTATTATGAAGACTTATAGTAGGACAGGTTTGGGATCCTGTTGTGACGCATACTTCTTTGATCCAGCTGCCCAGCTAAGCTTCTTCCCCCACCCAGGAGTCCAGTCTGACCGCGAATTGGCCTGACCGTTCAGGCTTTGGCACTGCTGTGTGGGCACCCATGGGGCCCTGACCGACCGAACGACCGTTGTGGGCTGAGCACATCCGGTGGTTTAGGTGATAAAGTGCCATCCAATTTTGTTGAAAATGCGGCTGCTATGCTGCTATACATACTCAAAAGGCTTCAGAAGACTCCAGCTTGGTTCTTGACCTGTAGCTATGGACGGTGTATTTAGGCAGGCGTTGAATGATCGTCCCACGAATGAAACATGCACCATGCAAGACGTGACTTCATCATCCCACATATCCCACATGCATGTCATTGTTTGCCTGTGTTGTTACTTTGGGTTGTCACTACCGCGGCATTGACTGTTTCCAAGTCCTCTAAGTCCTTTGGCACCAGTCCAATAGTTGTCAGGCCGTGGCTGAGACGGGCGCTCCGCTGCCCGCGAGACAGCAGGAACAGGGGGTTTGGAACAGATTTGGTTGGGGCTTGTGGTTTGTGGGAGGTCCTGTGAGTCACATTGGGAGGTCCTGTGCAGTTTCGGATCATGGTCAACTGAGTCAACTCAGCACAACCCCATTGATTCTGAATGCCGATGAGGCGCAAGCTGAGGCGCAAGCTGTGTGTTTTATTCTTTGCGAAGAGAAGTGGCAGTGAATCCAGTGATCCCAAGTGATCCCTTCATCGCGAGCACCGGAATCCTCCACGGACTCCACGCGTGGGCGGAGGCGGTGAATGGGAATCCTGCAGCTGCGGCTTGAAAGAGATGGAAAGGACATGCGACAGATGGTTGTGAAGTGAAGAGTGCACCGGGCAGACTTTCTTCTTCATGGCCTGGGGAGACTTCTTGAGACCCGTCCTGACTGTTGGGTGCAATGGGTTTTCAAGGTGCATTGAAAACAGACGCACGTACAGTATTGTTTTGTTTGGGACTGGTACCGCAGACTGGATGGTGCTCCATTCCATCGTACAGCAAGATTTCAAGAGGACCTTCTTTGGTGATGGACTGATTTGTGTTGTGGGCTCATTCCTGGTGAGTTTCTCATGTCTTGGATGTAAGCACGAAGTGATCATGTGATCATGAAGAATTTGATGGTGCACATCATGATTAATCTATAATACTCGTATGATAATGTGTTTATCTCCAAAGGGAAGTCCCATAGAGCCAACACAGACGCTCTGAGAAAGATGAGACCATGGTTTCTTGAACCATTTGGACCCCCTTGTTCTTACTAGACCACTGGAGGACCGGAGGATAAGTCCACTTGGCCGTCGACCAAGTGCTCTTCGGGGTGACGCCCAGAAAGCGATATAGAGAAACCATGAAGGGACACCAGCGGAAAAAACAAAAACACAATAAACATATAAAAAGAAGACTGGTCACATGCTTGACCTCCACGAGTCAAGGCTGTCAAGGCTGCATTGGCGTGTGAATTGGTCACGCAGTTGAGGTGCGGTGTGACCGGGACTTCAACCACTCTTCGGCATGCTTTGACCCCCCAAACGGACCATACATATCCGGTCGACTTGCTTGGCCAATCTACGCCAGCGTGTTCCAAATGTTAAAAAATGTCAAAAAGATTTATGGGTAGCCCATGAAGATCGTGAAGCATGCAGTTATATACCGGAAACTTAGCAGAGTCCCACCCAGGATGTGTTGCTTCTTTCACTGTTTCACTGCTACAGGAGGAAGACCAGTCCGGATTGGCAGAGAAAGAACGTGAAAGACTACTTTGATTGCATTAAACATCAGCTTTGATGAGTTTGGCATGACTGAATATGAAGTGAAAAAGACAGACCCAGTTAGATCGCCCTGTTCCACCTTCCACCAACCGTATGCATTCAAGCTCTCTATGCTCGTACATGGTGAGCATGTCCTCAGGTAGCGGACATGGTCACCATGCTGGCACAATGCTGATCACAGCACATGCATCGGCTGTGGCCACCATGCTATCCCTATTCTTTGCTCCATGCAGCTGCAACTAGCTCCTTGCTGGAGCCTGCTCAGCAGGCTGTGCGGCAACATCCTCTTCGAAAGCCCCGAGGTTCAACGCTTGGAGTTTGTTTTCCCGCTTGGAAGCCGTTTTCAGCCGCTCAAAGCTTGGTTGGTCAAAAGGAAGGAAACAAATGATACATGCACATGGCATCTTCAGCACACGTCCGTGTTTGCAATTTTATCAGGTTCTTGAGCTTTAAGGGATGGATCTTCCAGGAAGGTCCCTTTATGCATAGATAGGAATCCTCGAGTCCTTCCAGGCCGTACGTTTCTTTCTGTTTGACCTTGAGTGCCTGATTCTGAGGATAACTTGATGAATAAAAAATGGAACCAAATAACTCGATGGTTTAATAGACTTATCATTCCAAGTTGTTTTGCGTTCTCAGCACCACTGCGAGCCGCCGCACAAGGCAGCGGAGTTCCTACGGCTCTCAGCCGGTTTGTGGGGATGCCAAGATGCCAGAGAGAAGACCGACATCACGACAACGTCAAATATCATTCGTAATTAATGTTACTGATTTTGTTTGTGAGTGTTTGACACCAGTGTTCAATCTATAGGATCAAGGCAGGAGTGGACTATGATGAATGCATCAGGAAGTGACTGGATACGACTGGATGTGCGTCATCCAGAGCTCCGGACGAGGCCGGTGCTCCTCTCCCATTGCTACGCCGACCCAGAGCTGCCCTTGCTCAGGGAGGCCGGCGTCTATGCGGTTCGTCAGAAGCCCAGCATCCGGCAGTGTGGGATGGCCAAGACGGAACACTTCCCATGATTTGGATGGGGTTACATACAACCGCTTGACCTCCAAACCCCAGAAGGATCATATGGTGCCATGTCATCTAATGTAGACATTTTTTGACTAATGGAACCCCAGACGGGTGGGGTGAATCGCTTTGTAGTAGAGTCAGGTGTAGTGTTTCAATCCATGACGACTTGGGAGAACGGCCCGGGCAAGTACTTATCTCGTTGCACCCCACAAGTCCCTGGCATCATCAGTCTCCAGCGAAACACAGGCAATTGTACGGTTTGACTATCGAGCCGCCAACATAACTCTACTAGGAACAAAGGGCATCGCTACTTAGAAACAAGGAAGGATGCTACTAGTAGCTCCTGGCATTACTACTAGTAGAAAGGACGCTACTAGCAACACATGGTGTTAGCATTACATTGTTTGAGCCACCATGTGCCGCCTTTGAGGCAATGCTACGAAGCACAGCGAGAAGACCAGAGATGCAGTGCGCAGCATCCTTGCTGAGAGGCAAGGCTTCACGCGGGCATCTTAAATCGTCGGTTGCTACTTGGCATGTTTTGTGGAGTGTCGTTGGTTGCCCTTCATGTCCCTGGTAAAGTGTTCCAAAATATCGGAGAACTCGTCTTCGTGGGTCAAGGTGAATCGCTATTGACCTGATCCATTTGCAGAGTATTTGGTGACCAAAAATGGTGGGATGACCTGTCCAACTTCATTCATGTGATTTTGCTGCACGTGCGGCAGGCGAGTCCGTGATGCTGCGGCAGGCCTGGGGAGGGACAGTCCCTACTGATCGTGCTACCGACGGTCGTGGTGGGGATTCACCTGGAACTGCCCCAATCCGAAGATCCGGGGAAACGACCGAAACGGCACCTCTCTTTTTTTTAACGGATCGAAACGGAAAACTGGTCGGCGCCAGAGTACTTCTAGTCGAAGTGAGATTGGCAGACTTGAGAACGTCTATGAGAGCTGCAGCTACCCAACAGCAAAACATAGCAAAACACTGATTAAGACACCCAATCATACACTTCTGAACCCCGCCAGACCCTGCGGCTAGAGAACCTCTGGTTCGCTCAAATTGAGGTCCTAGAGGTCACGTGGCATAGTTGACAATATGTTGACATAGTTTTAGAATAACACAATGACAAGGTACTAGTACCTCGTCTAGATACGTCTAGTGTTATTTTCCATCGCTCAGAATTTGCCCGGGTGGGTATTTGCACCGGCCTTTAGCAGCCTTTTACGAGGCCTTGAAGGTCTGTGTTTTGTCTCCTCTCAGGTCCTTTGCCCACGGTGGACGAGACGCCCGATTGCATCAGCAACCGCGGGATGAAGGGATTAGAATGGATTTAGGAAATTAAGAATGATGATGGTGAACGGTTTTTGTGTAGTGTATTTGATCATGGGCTGTTAGTCATCGCAGTTTTGGAGAGGTGTTGAGAAAAGCCTATTGCTGCCGATGCTTTGGCTTTGGTCCACTGGATGCTGGTTGCCAGTTGAGTTTTAGTTGGAGCATTTGGACGATTCTGGTGAACATCGAACGTGGATCCTGCCCAACTTCACCCCCAGATCCACGTTCCTCCGTGAATTGCAGAGATCTCAGAGATCTCACTAGTTGGTCTTAGCTCCTTGTGTTGTGGTGTGCGTGTACCGGGGACAACCCAGCACAAATTGTCAGCCAAGGAGCGCTCTCTTCTAATCTCAGATTGACCACTACCAGCCTCAAACGCATGCGCCCGCCTGCCACCTGCACACACCGTGGGCGACGACAAGCTTCTTGCTTGAGATGCAGGAGTGTTGCCTTCGGGAGGGAATCTGGGGCAGGTTTGCCCAGCGGGGTAGTACATAATCATCTGAAACCACTGGTTTGGGGATTCGTTTTGACCCAAACCAGTGAATTTGGTCGCTGTTGGGGTCTGATTCTCTTGAAAGAAATTTTCGGTCAGACCCAGCTCCTCGGGATTTCACAGACCAGGCAGCCGAGCGCCTTCACCAGCTTCTTCCCGTCGCCATGTGCTGCTCATGGTGAACACGTGGCAGTGAGAGGCGCATGCGTGGCGACGATGATCATGGGAAGGCTTGGATGAGAAGAATTGTCCGAAGAGCATCCCAGTGAAAGCCGAGTCCCACTTGTTGGTGGGCACAGTACGCTGAGCAAGTAGGTTGGAGATTTGTCTAAGTCTTGAGTCTTTGGCTTGGATAAGTTCAGTGGTTGTAAGATGTTACTGTTATAATAATATGTTGTATAAGTTTCTTACCATGGCGTGCTTGGACAGAAGTATAGTGGTGACTGGATTCATTGATGGACGGACAGATTTGGACAGTGCATGTCAAATTGCGTAGAAAAAATGCAGTGGCTGATGTGGCTGTGTGTTCGGAGCATTTGGACTGGGTTCGTCGAATGTTAAGGGAGGGAGCGAGGGAGGGAGAGAGAGAGAGAGAGAGTGAAAGAGCGAGAGAGTGGCGGAGAAGGGATGGTTTGTGTGTTGAGATAGTTTGTTCACCAGAGGTAAGCCCAGGGCTGTTAGTGGCCAAAAGACTACGACGGCCTGGGACCAGGCCACCCGTGTCAAGCCGACTGACTTTGGTTGTTAAGTTTGTGCGAATCCATCGCTGCTAGTAACAAGTGCATGACTACTAGTTACAAGAAGCTACTCGTAGCGATGCACTTGTTACTAGTATCGTCTTCTTACTAGTAGTAAGGCACCTTGTTACTAGAAGCGTCTTGGTGAGGTGAATGAAGTGTTTGCCTCAGTGAATATCACTCGGACCTAGAAATCCATTCATCCTGAGAAGTGCGAGAACAGCTAGGCAATGGACACATCTTAATGGGACGGGCCAAAGGGTTTTTATCTGCCACACAGCAGCCTGCCGGGGAGACTTAGAACATCTTAGAACGTATGAGTATTGTGACTTTTGCATTCCAAACTCAATCCACAATTGACCCAGTGCACATGAATCCGAAATCAAGTCCGCCAGAAGTGTTCCTACATGCATCCACCCTGACATCAAACCGCAGAGCACCAGCCACCCTGCTCGCAGCTCAAGCAGAGAGAAGCGGCGAAGCGGCTGCAAAGGATTGCATGCAATATTTGAGGGCAAAATACATAGTCGGAGTCGGACATCACGAGCCATCATTATAAACAGACTGGTGCAATTTGAGCTGCATTATGGTGTACGGTGTATATCGCTATGTGTTTGTACGGTTTGATGAGTTCCGCCATGTGAAACAGAGATTTGTCAAACGTGTTGAGCGTCCCCACATTCACCGGCAACACTACAAAGGCCTCTAGTGCGCAGTGTGTCCAGTTTAGTAGCCTAATTAAGCTTGATTCTCCGAGCATTCAACTGACCTAACCCATTTGGCAAAATGCCCAACAGCAGGACACCTAATTAGACTCCTAGAATCTCCAAGTCCAGTTGTAAAGCATACGATGTTTTCACATGGTGTTTCACGGGTCGAAAAAGGCGATCAGTTTGATCTACAAAGCGTCATCAGTTAGCCAGTCCTAGTCCTTTCCACGTCCACAACTGAACAGCCATGGGGCTGTCCACCGAAACTGCAGGCACCGAAGCTGCGACGGCTTCGCGACCGCTTCGCTCACCGGACATCACCGGACCGTTCCTCGTCCAGGTCGTTGGGACGTGCCGTTGGAGCGTCTCTTTGGGAGCGAGGCGCTCAGTGAGGCACGTTCGGGCATGGCGGGACTGTCGCGATGGATCAAGTGGCAGCTAGTTCTGGATGTGTCAAATGGCCATATTTGCAGGTTGCCCCCAGTCAGTCACGCAGAGATCGTATATAAAATGTTTGAACTTTACTGGAGAATATGCGGCACTTTGCAACTGTTGTTGTGCTTGGAGTGCTTAACATTCGATGCTTTGGCTTGTAAAAAAGACCAAGGGTGGATCCTGACATTGACATCATCAAACTCTTGGTGTGGATCGTAGAAGATGGATGAAGATGGATTCTGAGGGTGAAATCACTCGACACGTTCCACGATGCGCTAGCTGTCACCGACGAGGGTTCGATTGCTTGGGTGAGCAGAGGAGTTCCACCTGCTGATATAGCCTTTGATCGTCTTTGCTATAGCTCATCCTTTTCGTACCACTTGATTTACTTGCTTGTCCGTCGACAAGCCACCAGGGCACGGTGCCGTTGGTGGAGCTTTTGCGTGCCAAGCGGCTGTTGACCATCAAGGACTTTGTGGCTTGGGCATGCGTCGAACGGTTGGCTTGGGAAGATTTGGGAAGAACCGGTGAGGCAAGGGAGCAGCTTAGTGGACCAGCTGATGACGGATGTGACGGCTGATGAATGCTGATGACCATGGCCGTCGATTTGGGTCATGTTGTTCCTTTCATGGTCAGCAGGGATGACGATCGTCTCGTAACTAGGAAGATGGTCGCAGTAGAAGGCCCGCGTTCCGTGTCTCTACGATAGTGACTAGTGTAATCACATATCAAAACTATATTGTAGTGTGTTTAGTGACTTAGTGTTTGTAAGCCATCCCTTAGAGGTAAGAGAAGTTGTCTTCCCAACCTCAAGTGACGCCCGTGCGGATCTAGTTCCAGGTTCGGGACACCGCCCAAGTGCTCACTGACACCGCCCAGGTGCATCTTCCAGCCTTTGAACTGCGTGACTGGCTTCTGATCACTGAGGCCGCAGTCACCAGCCCTGCAGGGCGGGGGGAATTGGTCCGGCCAAGAACCTCCATCATATTAGGGTTGGACTTTAGGTTTGCCAAAGGGTGTGGATGGCGAGGCATAGTTACATAGTGGACCTCGTTTTGAGAGGACAAACAAATGGAGACATGTTTTGGACCGTTGCTTTTCATGAAAAACTGTTCTTGTTGCTTTGCAAAACAGTTGCACTTGGTCAAAGCCTCGGCCCAAATGGTTGGGAATTGTTTTGAACATACTCCCGATTCTTGCCTTGCGCCCATTGAAGACTTACCGATTAAACTATATTTATATAATATGTATGATCCAAATGCAGGTACTTGCTCTGGACATGTCTCGGCCACACCATGGATGGCTGAGTTCCCCCTAGGCCCTATAGCTTGTTTCCTCCTGAGCTTGCTTAAGTCTTTAGCTGATGGTAGTGCAAGCCACTTACAACACAAAGATACACAAAGTAAAAATCAAGATGCGTGACTATCGACTATGGAGCACCACCTTCAACTTCTGTTCATGCCTTGAGCCGAAAATACCAGGAAATAATCAGTAAAACATCTATAATCGCCATTCAAAGCAGACACGACCAGCCTCACTTCAGAATCAACGGCCAGCCTCACGACCAGCTGCGCTTCGCCTCCAGGACGAGGCGACGCAGCTCCTCTCGCGCGCCTGGGCGTTTTGCGCTTCTCCTCCAGTGAGTGCCTGGGCTCGGACGGCCCAGATCAGCGAGCGATGTTTGGACTGTGATTGTATGGATTAGAATCAAATACGTCCCAAACCGGGATTCAGTAGTTTGGAGGTTGGAGAGCTGTTCATAAGGCGTTTTATACCATGATATACAATGTATTAAATATCAACCAACAAGCAATAACAACAAGCATTTTGAGACGTTTTGCAGATCCATCCGCCGTTTTGGGGGATCCAATCACTAATGACACTTCATGGTCTTGATCGGATGCATCGACATTTGTTCTGGTATTTGGGTTTGACAAAGTCGTGTTTTTGTGTGTGGAGGGCCCAAAGCGTACAAAGCTGTACAGCATACTGCCCACCAGAAGCGTGTTGGTACGAAATGAACGTATGACTTGTCGGAAATCATTTATATAGTCTGGATTTTTGCGGTGGTGAAGCCCGAGGCACTCATCACTAATTGTTCTATTATATTGTCTGCAGTTTATTTAGTTCGTGAAGCACCCCCTTGATCCAGTGATTGAATTCATACAATTAGAAAAAGGCTTCGTCGAGGGTCAAGGGTTGTTGAATTGTTTAGATGTCACCAGTCAGAGTGACTCGATGCGCCAGGAACTGGCGGCACGGAACCAAGCGGTTCAGTCGGGCAGCCTGTAGACTCATGTCCAGGTATGGCGAACACAGGTAGGGTACCATTCAGATCAAGACCCCAGGTATTTTTAGGTGAAAGGAAACAGCGTTCAACTATCGTTCAAAACGATCTAAACACTGCGGCTTCCTGGGTGAAAGGAAACTGTGGCTTCATAGCCTATAGGAATGGGCATATTTTTGCACCGTTGCACGGCTGCACCCCATGTTTATAGAACGATGGTCTTCACGAAGCAATGAATGGTTGCAATATGTTGGAATGAGTCGGACTCACAATTAAAAGAAAAAAAACTGGGGGAAGATCGTTGACCTGCTCACTCATATCAATTCACTATATCGGACTCACTGTCAACGGTTGATCCAGGCGTCAACGGTTGATCTCCCGCCGAGACATCGCCGACCCAGGCGTCAACGGTCTCGCGCACCGCTGCCATCGCTGGACCGAGCCTTGGGTGGGCTTCCCGCTGCCATCCTGGAGGCGGTTTCCCAGCACCAAACGCAGAAAAGGAAGCGTCACGATGAACAGGATGCAATATGATATGATGTGCGAAAGCTTGCGATATCAGTTCTGTCCGCGACAGCTTGCGAAGACGTTTTGGTGCAGCATTCAGAGCACGAAAGCCCGAACGCAAGCCTCCGAAGTGTTTCGAACGTATTGAACAACGCCTCGTGGTTTTAAATGTGGATTTGCCAAACATAATGACACAGTTGGGATTTGAGCCAGGAGTTTCCTTGAAACTGCCAGTAATATACTGAGTATACGTCTTTCAAACCGGTCTCGAACGGGACGAACGCCGACTCCGACCGGCGGACGTCGGACGGACGGACGGACGGACGGACAGGACGTCGGACCCACCGGTGTTCGTTTCACGTGTGTGTTTGTTATTGTGTTTGTCTTTTCGTGTGTCTTTTTATGCCCCCCCCGGTGTGTTGTTTGGTTTGCATGCATGTGATGTGTTTATATATTTGCATCCCCTGAAGCGATTGCCTGGCTGACAAAAATTGGCAAAGTTCAACTGTTTTCGTTGGCCGGTTCAATGCAAGCAGTTGAGCCAGTTGTTGGGGAAAGAACATTGGAGTGTTCAACCCTGAAAGAGGCTCAGTAGAAGAAGAAGAAGAAGAAGCATAAAAAGGCTTGAGTTTCCAAGCATGTTGTCCTAAAATGTCCTAAACAATAAAGACA